CCACATCGGTCAACTCCCTCAGAACTGGGAAGGTAATTGTGACCATTCCAAACTCAGAACGTATTCCAACAAGACTTACGTAGAACCCAAGGAACCGCCGTTCACTAATTCTACAACACGAAGTTTGACTACTGGATGAGTATGTGAGCGCAAATGACTTAACACGAACATTTGTCAGTAGCATCTGGTGATACACCCTTGCACCCTTGTATTCCCTAACCCTAGTATCTGCAGTAAGAAGCATCTCTCCGTATTATTACCAGTTACATTTGTCTTTTCATAAGTACTTTTCACTCCTCTTTTTCTTATTCCCCACTCACCCTGTTTCTATTAATTTTTAAGTAACGCCTAACACTTACCTGCAGGTGCCTATAACAACAGGAATCCCAAACGGTTAATTGATCTCATCAACAGCTCCGTTGCCTCCCTCAAAAAAAATCAGGCTACAGTTTGCAAATAAAATACCTTCAAATAAATAAACACTACCTTCAAAGCTATAAACAGTAAGATGCAAAGACTTCTGAGACCATCGAAGAAGTACAACCGAACAAAAAGAACCGAGCCTCAAGACAGAGAAGCGATAGCTGAAAAATTACACTATTGATGTTGGATCTTGGATGTTAGCCGCCACTATAAAAAGTTCTACTGTAACAATTCCGTTTATTTGGTTGGTTGTTGTTCATTTTATGTACTTGCTGAGTCGTCGGCTCACGTTTTCTTCCTTTATTCCCTTCCAGATTCCCGTCACTAAACCCGCATACCCCCTGCAACAACGTATCTATCTACAGGCTAGATGAAACCCTATCAACAGCTGGTCGTTACACTATTTTCTTTGCAAGGTGTATGAGCGTGAAAGACACTTTATTAAGACCATCCAAGCACATTATCGATATAATTTATGCATATTAAGCTTAAATGAAGTAAAAGTAGTGTGAAACGTATATAAGTGTGCTTTGTCAACTGCTGAAATGCATATATATATATATATATATATATATATATATATATATATATATATATATATAAGTGGGTCAAGACTTATGTAAGTCTTGAACCATTTTATAAGTAGTCAAGATTGGTAAAACAGCCCTAAACAATGTATAATGCATCTGAAAATGAATCATATTGGTATAGACTTATTCACTCTTCGCTGAAGGTAAGGTATTATTATTATTATTAGTCCCTTGGGTTCCTAGTGGAACATAGGGCTTCACTAGCACGTCTCCAGTGACCTCTCTTCCCTGAGATCTTTTGAACCTGGCTCCACGACAGCCCAGAAGCTCTCATTTCCTCCTCGCACGACCTCCTCCATGTCACCCTTGGACGTCCAACTCGTCGCTTCCCATGGGGATTCCACTCGAGGGCCTGACGCGTGATGTCCCCAGTCGGCCTTCTCAGTGTATGCCCAATCCATTTCCACTTCTTCCTGCATATTTGTTGCGTGATAGGTTCTTGGTTGGTTCGTTCCCAGAGTTCCTTGTTGCTTATTTTTTCTGGCCATCTGATCTTCAGCAGCGAGCGTAAGCAGTTGTTGATGAATGTCTGTAGTTTATTGGAAATCCCTTTCGTGACGCGCCAAGTCTCTGAGCCATACAGAAGCACTGACTTGACGTTGGTGTTGAACATCCGTATCTTGTTCCGCATGCTGAGTGCAGAAGATCTCCACACTGGTTTCAGGCTAATGAAGGCCTGTCTTGCTTTTCCGATTCTGGCTTTGACGTCCTCGTCCGTCCCGCCTGTAGTTGAGACAGTGCTTCCTAGATAGGTGAAGGAGGTTACTTTTTTTAAGTTTCTCCCGTTGATGGTGATTGGAGTTTGTTGTTGTTGATGGTGGTGGTGCGGTATCTTCATCACCTCTGTCTTCTGTATATTCACCTGAAGTCCCGTCTTCGCTGCCTCTTCTGTCAACTTGTTAGTTTTCGCCTGTAGATCTTCAAGTTTGTGTGACATCAGGCACAAGTCATCGGCGAAATCCAAATCTTCTAGGTTCTTTTCCACAGTCCAGCGTATCCCCCTCTTCTCGCTGCCTACTGTTTGCTGCATGATCCAGTCGACCACAATCAGGAATATCATGGGGGATAGTAGGCAACCTTGTTTCACTCCTGTCTTCACTTCAAAAGCATCACTGAGCTTTCCATTGTGAATCACTTGGCATGTGGCATCTTCATATAGTTGTTGAATGAGGCTGATAAAGGTTTGCGGTACTCCGTATTAATGAAGCAGTTTCCAAATTACTTCTCGGTCGACGCTGTCAAAGGCCTTCTCAAAGTCGATGAAGTTGAGGTAGAGAGCTGATTGCCATTCTATGCTCTGTTCTATGATAATGCGAAGCGTTGCAGTTTGGTCCGTGCATGATTTGTATTTCCTGAAGCCTGCCTGTTCCGGTCGTAGTTTTGAATCCAGTGCATTCTTTAGCCTCTCCAAGATGATGTGGCTTAATATTTTACTTGGGGTGGATAGGAGGGTGATTCCGCGCCAGTTCTTGCAAACACTGAGGTCTCCCTTCTTCGGCAGTTTAACGAGGTAACCCTTCTTCCAATCACCAGGTACCTTCTCTTCCCTCCACACCTTCTGCAATAGTGGTGTGAGCATGTCCGCTGTTGTCTCTGCGCCCGTTCTCAGTGCTTCTGGTGGGATTCCATCTGGTCCTGCTGCTTTTCCGCATTTCAGTAGCTTTATGGCGTTCAGGACTTCCACTTTTGTTGGAGGATTTATGTTCACTTGTAGTTCAGCGGCTGCAGGTGGTACTTCTGGACGAAGTGCAGGTGGTGGTCAATTCAAGAGCTTCTTGAAGTGGTCGGCCCATTGTTTCCTTTGTTTCTCTTCTTTCGTAATTAGATTTCCGTCATCATCTTTTATTGGTTTCGTTTGCGTTGATTTCTTTCCAGATAGCAACCTGGTTATTTGATACAATGTCGTCAGGTCTCTCTTACCTGCAGCCTGTTCTGCTTCACTTGCTAGTGTTTCGTAGAAGTGTCTTTTGTCTTTGCGAGCACTCTTCTTCACTTCTTTGTCCAGTGTTTTGTACATTGTACTCAGTTCCTCTTGTCGTTGAGCATCCATGCACTGGTTTATCTTCTGTTTCACCATCACCATCTTCCTCTCCCTGCTATATCAGCTTCCATGTATCCATTGAGATCCATTCCGTATCTTCTTTCTTCTTCCTTCCTAATACGGTTGTGCAGGTTTCTTTCCACATAGCTTTCAAAGACTTCCAGTGTTCTTCCACACAGGTTTCTTCAGGGATGTTGCTCGATATCTCCCATTTTGTCTTGATGGCTGTCGTGAAGATCTCCTTTGTAATTTCATCCTTCAGTTTTCGAGTGTTGTACTTGAATTGAGGTCTATCACCAGCTTCCTTGAAGGCTTTCAACTTGATTTGGAAGGTTCCTTGCACTAGATGGTGAGTGGTGTGAACCTACATCTGCTCCTCTTCTTGCCCTTGTGTCAAGTAGACTGCGTCTCCATTTTCTTGAGATTGAGATAAAGTCGATTTGATTTTTAGTGTGTCCATCTGGTGAAATCCATGTCGCTTTGTGGATATCTTTGTGCTTGAACACACTGCCTCCAATCACCAAATCGTTGAATGCGCAGAATTCTGCAAACAATTCTCCATTCTCGTTCATCACCTCACCTTGCGCTTCTCGACCCATGGTTAGTTCTCTTCCTGTGTTGTCACCTCCCAGTTTGGCATTCATGTCACCCATTAGAATTTTGATATCACCAACTGGCGTCTTGTCCAGTGTTGATTGAAGTTGTTTGTAGAATTCCTCCTTTTTCTCTTGCTCTGCATTATTTGTAGGGGCATAGCATTGTAAGATTGTGACCTTCCTTCCTTTTGATTTGAATCTTGCTGTCATGATCCTGGAGGAGATTGGTTCCCACTGCATGAGAGCCTTCGATGTTCTTGGGGACATCATGATAGCCACTCCATCACTCAGTGTGCTCGTGGTTGTCGTCTGGGTGACAATATCGGAGTAGATTATTGATTCTCCAGTTGACAGTTTGGAGAGTCCACTCCCATTCCATCTGCTTTCGCAAATCCCAAGCACTTCGATGTGATACCTTCTCATCTCTTTTGCAATCTGGACTGCCTTGCTGGGTTCAAACATGGTGCGGACATTCCATGTCCCCACGTTTACTTTAGCTTTCATCGAGGGGGAGAAGACACATTGGCCAATTGGCTTCCCGAAGGCTTTCACCAACTGGCGTCATTTCGCCTCTCCGACTCCAGCGGGGAATAAGTTTGTTTTTATTTTTTATATATCGTTTGTGCTTTGAAGTTTGTTTAGCGGTTAGATTTGTTTTACGGGGTAGGGTTGCTAGCCCTATGCCCAACCTTCCCTCTTTACCCGGGCTTAGGACCGGCTAGTAACTAGTGAACTAGTTAACCAGGCGAGGTTGAAGGTAAGGTATGATATCATCTAATCTAAAAGACCACTATTAAGTACTCCATTCCCTTCAGTTGTTATCGTGGATATCCACGATAGGAAGTTGGTCTAGTTGGTTTTCGATGAAATGTAGGCTACTGACGCTGACCATTCTTTACTCAATGGATCTTGTCAACTGGAAGTTTCCTCTTCAATTTTCATCTTTTATTTAGTGAGAGTTTATACTGACGTCTAATTTGTACTGATAGGTCTTGTCCTTGTTAAATTCAAGTGTGGATTTAAAATCGCTGGTTGCTTGCTCATTTTTGATTGCTGAAAGTTTAATATAGCTTCGTGGTTAAAGCATCCATGTTACTACAGCCTTAGGTTGTCTACTTCAAGCATACATTAATTCCATGTTGTATATGCTTAAGTCACACAGCGATGCTGTAATGTTTATGGCATTTATGCTCGAAAGGTGACGCAGTGAGTAGTACCGCATGAGTGTGCTATGTTAGGCAAACATTCAGTGAGGAGTTACACTGAAACAGTGCCTACTTTGCTTTTTATAATGATCTTTGCTACTTATGTTTTTTGTCACATTGTTTTAAGCATACAGTTCTTACAGACATGGCTGATTTACGGGGATACGTGTGTCTTGTAACGGGAGCTACTCGAGGAATAGGTAAAGGTGTTGCAGTCACCCTCGGGAAGTGCGGAGCAACAGTGTATATAACTGGACGAACACAAAACCCGTGCAATGTCAGTGTTGGAGGTAGTCTTCAGGAAACTACGGATGTGATAAATAAGTATGGCGGAGTAAGTTTTTACACTTCAGTTTTGTATTCTGTATACATAATGATTAGTGTCTTTTGTATCTTACTTGGTTAGCCTTTGTTAAATTATTCCGTCTAAGCATCAATTTGGTTGTAACCCATTGTATTCGAAATACCGTTGGGCTTATTCCATCTCTGCCGCTAGTTGCAACCTTGATGTGGTGTTCAGGCTCTCATATCACAGCGACTTAACGAGTTACTCTGGTTGGAATAATTGTTCCTGGAGGTCCTACCGTAGCAGAAAAGTGTTGGGTATTGGAGACTAAAAACCAGTTACCGTCATGCTGTAAATAAGTGCATCATAATGAGAGTTCGAGGGAAATGTTTAGTTCTAGCGTTTTATCTCACTGAGCCACCTTGTGCACATGCGTACAGTAGGCAACGAGCCACGCCTATTGCGTGAGGGCTAGTGATACTAGCTGGCTGCCCGAACATCGGTGGGCGGAGCAGAGCTGGAATATGTGACGCCGTCCCGCAGTACTGCTTTGTAACGTATTGCTAGCTGGGTAGGTAACAGCAACTAGATGTTTCTCGTTGATAACTAGCAGTACACGTTGACGTTGTCCTGCCTTTTGGGGCAGATTAGGGAATGTCGGCCCAAACAATAGTACACTCTCCGCCCTAAAGTTCTCCGGTGTCACGGTTATACGTTTTTATAGCCTAGATGTAACGGAATCAGACCTGTCTCAAGCTACCTAAACGGTCACGTGGTTGGCTTCATACCTATGTTCTTTGGACCTCTATTTTCTCTTCCAGGTAATCAAGAAGAAGGTATCTCCCGGAATATGAACAGCGATGAAGTGTCAGCCGCCCTCATCTGTCTGTTTATCTTGTCTAGTAATAGTTTTAATTGGTCATTAAAGTTCATCAGATACGAACGTAGCATCGTATGAATGCAATGAAGTTTATCATGCAAAGGTTAATTTATTTTCAAATGTCTTAATTGACTTCTGGTATATAATTATTACGTCGTATTTCCGTTTGCCGTTTTTTGGACTAGAATGCAGTGCTTCAGGTGTTCACTGCACAATAAACCTTTTTTAGTTATTGACTAGTTTGGCAAATGTGGTGACTCATAGATTTTACTTCAATTTAATCACATAAACCACTTTGCTTCCCAACCACTGCTGTAAATTTCAGACCTTAAGAGAGTTGGGAAGCACGATGCAGATGATGTCGGTCCATTAGGATAACTACTGTTGATTTCTAACTCAACCATATGAGAAAGCTTTTAGGTCTCAACATCCTTGCTTACATACTGTGTACGTGCCAGAGATCAGTGATGGAAGCAATTACGTCTCGAACTCGGACACTGGACCATTCTAAAGAATTATGACATTTCATGTAACATAAGATAAAAAGGGCAAAGCCAACTTAGAACCCTTAGCATGTATGTGATTTATGTACTCTTTTTCAGGTCATTTACCTTTATTAATGGATTGATATAATCTGTATTTGGAGACAGCGAATATAATATGAATGATGTACTTCAACCCGGTACATTTATGTACTTAGGGTATGAACTACACTTGCGCGAGGATCTATGGTACTAACCGTTGTTCAAGTCGAAGTGGGGCTTGAACTTGGAACCTATTGCCTAAAAGTTGAATTCTTGAGCCAATAAACCACATCTCTATAAAGACAGTTAATCCTTCGTTGCGACCAAACTTCAGCATTATTCGTGTGTACTTTTATCAAGTAGCAGACCTCATGGATGCTGATTAATTTTGTTGATACATATGAAGTGCTTCTCAGTTATTTTCGTAAAGTGAGTAAACATACCGATTGGTAATCGTATTCTTGTGTTCATTTACTTTTTTACCATTTTAATACCATTTTATTAAACTGATATGTTTTTAGAAAGCTATTCCTGTTGCTGTAGATCATTCAGATGATCGTCAAGTCGAAGACTTATTCGGTCAAATCAATCGGGAACAAAATGGACGTTTGGACATCTTAGTTAATAATGTTTATAGTGCTGTTTCATTTTTAAGTGAAAATGCTGGGATACCATTTTACGATATCAAAAGTGTATCACCAGGAGAAGCTTGGGATATTGTCAATAACACTGGTCTGAGAAATCATTACATTTGTTCTGTTCTGGCCACTCGAATGATGATTGAATATCAGAAAACACAGTCACGGGTTCATCTTATCCTGGTTTAATTATAAATATCACTTCTCTGGGTGGAAAATGTATCTTTTCAATGCGGCTTACGGAATCGGTGAGCTTTTAAAGACTTCATTTCAAATTTAATACTACTATTTTGCTACCAGAAAAATGTTACTTCATTATTGGTTTTGCTAAGCACTTCAATACGTGTGATTTTCAACACACATTTCTGTACGTGTACTAAAATGTTGATACCACATCTGCTTCATCGAAAAGTAATGCATCATTAAGTGGCTTTTTACATAGCTCCTGTCAATTCACCAACCTAAGTAGTTGGTTCCATTTTACTGTTTGATGTAGCTCGAATTTCTCTAGAAATCCCGATAGTGGATAATAAGTAGAGTTTAATAACCCCTTACTGGTTAACTTTCAGTGTTGAAATTCTGCATGTCAGCACTTCTAGGATATGTCTGTCAGTTAAAACTGTTGTCGATTGCAGATATAGCCATTTTACGCTTACAGTCCAACACACCTTAAAAATGTCAAAATTTCTCTCAAAAGTACATTTATTCTCTTTGTATTGGCCTACATTTGCTTTTGAAATATACTACTGACTTGATGCATAGTAGGCCACTCACACCAATCAGCATTGCTTGCTGACCAGATGAAAGTGATGTGAACAGTAAACACCATGTTCACCGTACAGTGAGCAGTCATTGTATCTAGTCCATTTATGCAGCAGTCCAATCACCTCCCAAATAGCTCGGTAGTAAAGTCCCTGACTGCAACACTGGGTGGCATGGGTTCGAATCTCTGAGGGATAATCCCCTCCAAGGGCTACATATACTCCTTTCTAGTGCCAGTAGCAATTTGACAATATAAAATCGCAGTATGCATTTGTATACTAGGCTATGAGGCACCCTTGTTGTATAACGGCCAGTGATACTACTTACTTGCTTAGGCGGAATTAGGTGCAGTAGGATTGAACCCATGGCCGATTGCTAAAAATTCGATTTCCTAAACCAATGACCTACACTTCCGATACAGGACTGAGGTTCAGAATCCCGTGCTCATGACCTAGAGCCGCGGTATATTGATCTAAGCATCAAGCGGCTGTTTCGTTAGTTTGAGACCGAGCTCATTAGTGGTGTACTGGGGTCGATCTCGCTCATAGCAGAGTTGTTCAGACCACCCGAACTCTGCCCAACTTTAATGGACCAGTCATGCATATAACGATTAGCTAGCCAGGATTAGGGTAATACGGAAAATTCGGTCCTCTGATCTGAATCAGTCAGTGTTCACTGCCGATGGGTTTGACCCCAGACGAGCAAAACGGCCACCTGGTGCTCCGATCATATTATTCTGGCTAGCGAGCACCACTAATGGTCATTGTGAGTAGTCTGTAACTACTCATATCAGTAGTGAGTTCCTAATAGCTGTCGTACTCAGTCTTTGTGTCGATTGTGGTGTTGAGCAAATCAAATCACTTAATTTAAATATTTTAGTTCTCATACAAAACTGAGGTGAAATCTCTCACCGCTGATTGTGTACTCCGCAAACAGCTCATTGGATTCCCACTTAGTTTATATCAAACTTGGTGTACGTGTGTCGCCCATGGCTCTGTTTCATACCATCTACGAGATATAACAAACCTATAAAGTAGCGTCTCTATAATTTTGCGCTAACAGAAGGAAAGAGAAAAAGAGAACCATACTAAGCAAGATGAATGAATATGGAGCATTTCGTATTCATGAAATGAAAAACTAAAGACGGCTGACAATTTTAACGATCACTTTTTGTGTCTATCACTAATTAGTTCTAACCAAAGAGACATATTCGATAAGTCATGTTACTGTAATTTATGTTGTGGACATGTGCTTACTTTTTTCCTGTCAAGATTTGTATTTGTAGACATGACAAAGCAAATTTGACGGCAGGACTGTAAATCAGTGTAGGTTTTTTTTTCTTACTGAGTTGCCGTCTCAGACCCATGTCATATACTTCCGTTTCAGAAGGTTGAGTATTATTTTGAAATACAGTGGTTCTCGGGAGCATAGTGTTTAGGGTTTGTTCATACTGAAGGCCCTAGTGACAAAGATGTCTAAAACATATTGTACACGAAACCTCACTTAGGATTCAAGAAATATTAATATAACTAGGTTTTTTCTTATCTAAACAAATAGATTAGTAGGTTGGGATGTAGACTGTAATAACGAAACTTAATTTACGGTCTTAAATTTTTAAGGTAGTTATCCAAAATAAGCAGTATTTGCAAACGGCAGTTTACGATTTTACTGTGATAGAAATTACGACAAAAGTGCTTATTTCAAGAAGCACAGCCTTTTGTGCACAAGAGAGCATTTTTTTCATTTACAATCTTTAATTGTGCTATCACTACAGTGTTTCAAATCAGTTAATAAATAATTCTCACCGTTCTCATCATAAAAGTTGTCCAAATCTGACCGATCTTCAACATATGAAATTCTTATGCATAAATAATCGCTTGCGAAGAATTTTCGGATTCACTTGTTCTTTGAATATATTATTCAGCCACTATTGTACTTTATCGGCTGACTAAAACAGTTGTGCTAACATTTTTCCATTGGCATTCAAAGGGCTGTAAAGAAAAATCTACAGTTGAGCGGGATACGATAATTTAGTTTATTGTTCATAAGTGCTTGTGTATTTTTCTTATTAAGTAACTTCGAATTCTCTATCTTACTTTTAGGAAAAGCAGCACTAGATCGCATGACTAGTGATCTGGCGAGAGAATTGAAAAGTGCGAACATTAACATTTCTGTTGTTGGGATTTCACCTGGGTTAGTACGTACAGAACACATACTTAATGCTGTGGATAAAGGAAAACTAAAACTCAACATTGATAATAGTATGTTTGGATACTTTTAATTTTGTACAAATTGAATTTAAATTAGTTATAGCAGACTAGTGATTTATGCTCAATCTATTCTGATTCTTATGATTATTTGATGATGTCAGGTAGTAGAATACAAAACATTCCTCATTCATTATTGGTTAATATGTTTCATTCTATTATAGTGTGATAATGTTCTTGCTGAAACAAACTCAGTACTCCTTCATTCTATCATTTAGATTTATTCTGCTTAGTCAGTGCTACTAAGTTGACTTATCCACAACATGTGATCATCACTTGATAATACACTCGTAAATCTGCGCAACATAAAACATTAGATGGCTCAACTATGTGTAAAATGCTTTACTCAGACGAATTTTAAAGTAGATAAGATCAGTACTGGCTGATTAGAGTATTATCACATCAACGAACACTTGAAGTCATTATGTTCCGTTAGCAATACATACTATTCATTAAATCTCCATCGGTATTTTTGCAAAGTGGGCGGTGTTTTGTCACCGGACATGTTAAGATAGTCTTTGTGTTTCTTTTCTTTAGCAGTGTATGTATAATAATTAAACTATAACCCTTGAAGCTAGATCACCAGAACTTTTTAAGAAATAAACATTATAGCTACTTCATTGGTTACTCTTCATTACCCAACAATTGTATTCCAACCGATCTTACTTAGAAAATGTCATACTTCGAAAAAGTTAATAGTGACGTAGCACTGAATAACTCCTACGATAAAATTAGTCTTCATGAGTTTGTAGGTACTTTTTATTGGTGAATGACACTAGAGGCGAAACCTACATTCAAGACCTAAACCTTGTCTCCATCCATCTTTCGTCCACCTATATAACATAGGAATGTTGTATCTCGAGAATTTACTGTTCTGTAGTCCCCACTTACTTTATTATTTAGAGTCTTGAGGTTTTTGAGATTTAATTCCCGTTTCTTCATGCAATCGTGCTAGTAGTGAATTTGTGTGCATATCAAAGTGTTTTGATATTTTCCTTCTGTTTTTCATAAAAACTATTTTTTAAAGGTTCTTCTAGGTGATAGGAATAACTTAATATATAAATGTCTTAGATGTATGCAATGAATAAATTCAAAATTGCAGAGAATCAGTTGCCAGAAAGTAGTAAATGAGATGTGGCTCTGAGTTTTGATCCAGTGTGGCCACTAAGTTGTAGGTTACAACGCTGGTACTTTGCATTTAGTGATAAATATTAGAGGCACTGGATGGAATTTCCAGATTGACGCGTTTGTCGGTTTACTGAAAGATCCATAATTCGAGCTATAGCTTGTCAGTGTGGATACTAGACTGTTCACCAGCGGATTACGAGTTTGAAAGCCAACCCACCAACCGACACAAAGACAACTAAGTAGGTTAAAATACCTAGGATGGATCGTAGTTTAGTAAAAGACCTTGCATGTGGTTGATTATTTGCACATGCCTTTTTATTTTTCGCTCTAGTTTGTATTTAAGATGTCAACGAAACTAATGGTTGGTTTTCTGGATTCAGTTTCCACTGGACTTTCTTATTTGGTAGTTTATTTGTTTACTTTATCCATCTGTTTTCTCTCATAGTGACAAGAACTTCGACTTCAGTAGCGACAAATAGTTTGGATATTGTAGATATTACTAATTTTTGTCTTTTCAGACTAGTCTCATTTCTTCTCATCGCTCACAAGCACTGCTTACAATCTTTTTATCTAATGAAGATTTATTGAAATTGTGTGAGTTTTCAGAACATTTTGATAAAAATAATTTTATTCAAAATGTGTTGCCTACTTCGACTTTCTGTAGGTGAATCGCCTGAGTTAACTGGTCGTGTGATATCGAATCTGGCTACTGAACCATCTAAAAGATTGTTGTCTCGGTCTGGTCGGACATTTAACGTTAGTGATTTAGCGGATCAATTTGGCATCAAAGAAGATTGTGGCCATCCTATCATTAACATAAGGTCCCTTAAATTCTTACTTTCATATGAAGGGTTTTCCATTGCTAAATTTATACCCAGTTTCATTCGAATTCCAGAATGGCTATTCAATATATTTTTGAAATATAAGTGAACATTTTTCTGTATTATTTTATTACTGAAATTATTTTTTGTTGCAATCAGTTCAATTTTTCACTGTACTTTTTGATACTTATGAACTAGATCGAATTTCCGTGGAAATATTCAGCTATATATATATTGAGTTACTGCTTCTAATAATTCAAATAAAGACTATCCGCTAACTTACTAGTACATTAGGTTTTCCTTATGAATCATCTACACTTCAGTTGTCTGAATCATTCATTTTATGTATGCCGCATTATAGTGCAAACTGACAAATTATGAGGTTGAGAATAATTGGAAAGGCATGGGTGAAATAGACCGTTAAATTGCATCAGTTACTTGTTACAACAGCAGTGATTTCTTTAATAGTCGGTCGTATGGTTTGCCATTTTAAGCATGACATTCATTGTACATACGTAAATTGTCAGGAGTTAGTCAGCTTCATGCACTAATCCTAATGTTACTCAATGTTCGTTGAACGTGTGTGATATGGTCTTCAGGTTAGTCTATTTTTTATGAAAAGTTATGTGTGGAGTGATAAGAGGCGTGTTAGCTGCCATCTAGTAATAATGGCGTGTTTGTCAAAACGTTTTAATGAACAATACGGCTATTGTACGAACATCGAAAGCTGCACTATGTTTCCCCCCTTGTTACTAGTGCAATTTGCTGCTTTTTCTTTCTTTGAGTAATATGGCTGACTGAATGTTTACTGTACATTGCTGCTATCACCAAAACAATGGAGTATTTTAATAATGGTGCTTATAATTTGCTTGTTAGGATGACAAAAGAAAGCAGCCAACAACGTAGGTCAGTCGTAGTGTATGCGGCTGCCATAATAACTAGTGGCCGAGTTTATTGCCTGGCAAAGGTGGTGATCACTTGTTTTAATCCCTAGTTCTATGAATTGAGCTTAGATACATACCGAACTTAAATGTTTTCTGTCTTGAAACGCATTTAAAACTGAACAACACCAAAGGGCGACCAACAACAATGTGACTTTTTAAATGGTGGTTTTCGAATGACCTTGGTAAGTATACGACAGGATACTTTGCTATTGATTTACTTTACGTATACTTTTGGTAGGGATTTTGATGAACAGTGATCGAAGTGAATTTGTCGTACTATTTTTTTCTCACGCGAGTCAATGGGTTTCAAAAGGACAGTCATCGTTACTAACATGAATCGATGCAAAGTTCTGTGAACATACGAACATTGCTCACGGACAGTGCGTTTCTGATGCATTCACTGAAATGCAATCTTTGCCTTAGGTGTAGATTAGGTATCAAATATATATCAGATAGGTTACTTGCAAATTACTTCTTATAAATTACTAACAGATCATTTACAAATGAGTGAACACTTAAAACCACCAAGAGGTCTGTTATCTTTGAAACGTTATCTAAGGTTGCATCCGGCATCTTCTATAGTTTAACCTAAGAACGGGTTACCTCATGAGTGCTATTGTAGAAGCTATTATTTGTGTTGTATAGTAAATAACTGCTCATAAAAACAATGTTTTATACGCTTGGTTATAGCAGTACAGTATTCATCATTACCGAACGGTTCGGCTTCTGAAGCAATGGTTCTGCAGTCATGATACGGATGTCAGACCGTAAACTTGTCTAGCCGACAGTCCCTCAGTGGGCAAGATTTGCCTGTCTTTTTCACCTCTGCACAAGCAAGTGCTTTTAAACGGCTATGAATTTCAGGGCTGATGTAATTCCTTGTAGAGAAATGAAATCGAAATGGGCTCAGCAACCTTGTGTACATCCGTAGAGTAAGTAATGAGCCACACCTATTGTGTAACGGCTAGTGACGCCACCCGGGTACTCAAACCCCAGTAGGTGAGACGGAGTTCGAACCCGTGGCTCATTGCTTGAGAGCCATCTTCCTAAACCAGTGAGTCACAGCTCCAATTTTGTAGGGGAATGGTTTATCAACCTCTGTTCATAACAGATCTTGTTAAAATGACTCAATGAAGAGTGTTTCAGATCAGTCACTGGATATTAGTCAGTGTCGACTAAGTTATTATCTATCGGGTAGGTAGCATCACTGGACATCGCAGTTTGCTGTTCAGTTTTGAAAAGTAATCTATTAGTATACTCTGTGTAGCTCTGCAGGGGCTCATTCGTCTCCTGAATGACTTAGTAAGGAACCATGGGTTTGTTTCAGGCTTCATAGACACATTGTTAATGCATCTCAACAGATGAGGAACTTGGCTTTAGCCTTTCGTATTATACACTTCTACCTGTTAGAATCGACTTCTGTAAGTGTCGGGGTTCTGTCTCGATATTCCACTCAAGATCAGACTAGATAACTCGCAACCGAACGGTAGTTGGAAGCTAGTTGAACTGTCTGACTTAGCCTACCTACTTGTTCATTGAAATCACCTGCCACGATAACCACATTTGAGCGTTTGGCTTTCGATAGGAAGTGTTAATGCGCAACTGCGAAGTTCAGAGGACGTTCGCCGCGGGTCAGTCACACACGGTCCTTTTATAAGCTTGAGATTTAAGTTTGTTAGTTTACACCCCAACTATGAGCCCCATGCTGAGGTAGCAGCTATCGGTCACGAAGAGAACACTTCAATATCGGTTAATTGTTTAAGTTTATGATGTAAAGCAAACGCTGTCCTTAAATTTCTGAATAATTGTTTACTTTTTTTGAAAAAAATATATTTAAATGAACCTTCATGAAGTAGGTATTCTAACTTACGTTTGAAAGTCACTCCTCACAACAGTATTCTGTCGGGATATCTGTGTACCAAACTGCATAACCGTATTAGGAAGGAAGAAGAAAGAAGATACGGAATGGATCTCGACGGACACATGAAGCTGATAGAGGAGGGAGAGGAAGATGGTGATGGTGAAGCAGAAGATGAACCAATGCAAGGATGCACAACGAGATGAGGAACTGAGTACAACATATAAAACACTGGACAAAGAAGTAAAGAAGAGCGCGCGGAAAGACTAATGACACTTCCATGACACACTGGCAAGTGAAGCAGAACAGGCTGCAGGTAGGAGAGCCTTGACAACATTGTATCAAATAACCAGGTGGGAAGAGATCAACGCAGATGAAACCAATAAAAGATGATGAAGGAAATCTAATTGCCAAAGAAGAGAAACAAAGGGAACGATGGGTTGACCACTTGAAAAAGCTCTTGGATCGACCACCACCTGCACTTCGTCCAGAAATACCACCTGCAGTCCAGCCACAGAACTACAAGTGAACATAAATCCTCCAACAAAAGTCGAAGTCCTAAGGGCCATAAGGCTACTGAAATGCGGGAAAGCAGCAGAATCAGATGGAATCCCACCAGAAGCAGTGAGAACAGACAAATGATGTTCTTTCATGATGAGTGGTACCTTGAAGACTAAGAGAGTTCAAAAGAAGCGGCTGAAGGTTATGAAATAATTAACAAGTAGTTGCAGTAGTAATGAACTTATCAGCTACAACTTAAGTCGGGGAATAAGGCAAACAAGTTATCGTAAACAGCCTGTGATACGGCCTGAAACCTCTGGGAAAAGATCGAAATAATTTTATTATGGTTTTCATTTCTTCAAGATTAACTGCTCACATCTTGTCTTGATAGCACAGTATATCAAACAGCAGTAGGTATGTGTAACACCATAATATATATAGGATAAGTAGTTCTAGTGCTGCAGTTCATGCATAAAGATCGAATAAAACCTGAAACATCAAAAGCTCTGTTGAATTACTTGTTAGTACTCTGAATTCTCTCTTGCTTGGTTACGTAAGTAGTTTGTTTCTACAGATTATCTGAATGCAGACAGTTACAACATATGATTTTAGAAATTTTTAAATTCTTTTCTAAAGAAGTAAATAATAAATAGCTTGCCAAGAGTATGACTGAAGTTGAAGGATGCATGTTTTTAGTATACATGACATGAGAACTAATTTTCTGGAATGAGGCAAAAACGTGGAGTTTTAAAGTTTAGCCTTGTAATTTAGATGGTAACGTCACGTAGCTTAAAGTTTTTTTTGTTGCCATTTCTCACGTATTGCTTCTTCGGAAAACAATGCAAGTTATCCCTTATCCCAAAATGAAATCATTTAGATAACCATTGGGAAATACCGACAACTAGATAGCTACTTCGTTCTAGGATTCGGCAGTGCAAACTCATAACTTAGGGGAAAACCAGGTCTACTGCTGAGTACTGCAAATACTGAAAAAACAGCAACTTGATACTGTTTTTTTCTATTGGTCTATAGTCAACACGACTTCTTAGTGGAATGCAATCTGAAATCAATCGTTTCTGTAGTACATCGGCTAATAGGATACAATTATTCAAAATACAAATAATTTTTTAAGAATGACTTTAAAGGCTATTCTAGAGGCTGCTGAAATAACCAGTCAGGTTTTAGTATTTTGGTTGTGAATGAAGCTTCTCATGAAATAAGGAAATGTAATTGTTTATCTCAGCAGTTATGAGCGTGGCCTTTAAAGTTATTTTTTTCATTTGTAAAATAAACGGGCTAAATTCAAAAATACAAATGATATTTGAATAGAGAGTTAATTCAGTTTGTTTCTGTTCACGAATGTAAATATTTGTCAGGAGAATATCATTGTAAACAATCATATCATGCAGTTGATCATATGATATGGATCCAGTTATCAGCAACTGATTGGAAATAACGTGAGAAATCAGCTATTATGTATGTCGTTTAACCAAAGCGCAATGAACAAGAACACATTCAACCCTTACCAATGGATTAAATGGACCTTGTTTACTTCAATGCAGAATATCCAACCCTTATTCAGAAAAGCTCTTTGAAAGCTATGTGGAAAGAAACCTGCATAACCGTATTAGGAAGGAAGAAGAAAGAAGACATGGAATGGATCTCGACGGACACATGAAGCTGATAGAGGAGGGAGAGGAAGATGGTGATGGTGAAGCAGAAGATGAACCAATGCAAGGATGCACAACGAGATGAGGAACTGAGTACAACATATAAAACACTGGACAAAGAAGTAAAGAAGAGCGCGCGGAAAGACTAACGACACTTCCATGACACACTGGCAAGTGAAGCAGAACAGGCTGCAGGTAGGAGAGCCTTGACAACATTGTATCAAATAACCAGGTGGGAAGAGATCAACGCAGATGAAACCAATAAAAGATGATGAAGGAAATCTAATTGCCAAAGAAGGGAAACAAAGGGAACGATGGGTTGACCACTTGAAAAAGCTCTTGGATCGACCACCACCTGCACCTCGTCCAGAAATACCACCTGCAGTCCAGCCACAGAACTTCAAAAGAACACAAGCCCTTCAACGAAAGCAGAAGTTCTGAATGCCATAAAGTTGCTGAAGGCAGCAGGACTGGGTGGAATTCCTCCAGATGCACTGTAAACAGATGTAGAGACAACAGCGGACATGCTCACACCACTATTGCGGAAGGTCTGGAAGAAAGGGAAGGTACCTGGCGATTGGATGAAGGGCTATCTTGTCAAACTCCCGAAGAAGGGCGACCTAAGTCTTTGCAAGAACTGGCGCGGAATCATGTTCCTGTCCCTGTCCACACCAAGCAAAATATTAAGCCGCATCATCCTGGGAAGACTAAGGGATACGCTGGATTCAAAACTACGACCGGAACAGGCTAGCTGGCTGGCTGGATTCAGGAAGAACAAATCATGTGCGGACCAAACTGCAACGCCACTCTACGCATCATCATAGAACAGAGTATAGAATGGCAGTCAACTCCCTACCTCAACTTCATCGACTTTGAGAAGGCCTTCGACGGCATCGATCGAGAAGTAATTTGGCAACTGCTTCAACACTACGGAGTGCCACAAATCTTTATCAACCTTATTCAACAACTATATGAAGACGCCACATGCCAAGTAATTCACAGTGGGAAGCTCAGCTCAGTGATGCTTTTGAAGTGAAGACAGGGAGGAGTAAAACAAGGCTGTCTACTATCACCGATGATCTTCCTGATTGTAGTGGACTGGATCGTGCAACAAACAGTGAGGAGCGAGAAGAGGGGGATACACTGGACGGGGGAAGAGATCGTAGAAGATTTGGATTTCGCCGATGACTTGTGTCTAGTGTCACACAAACGTGAAGATCTACAGACAAAAACTAACAAGTTGACAGAAGAGGCGAGGCAGCGAAGGGAGATGGGACTTCAAGTGAACGTAGAGAAGACAGAGGTGATGAAGATACCCAACCAACAATAGCATGAACAACAACAACAAGCTCCGATCACCATGAATGGGAGAAACTTGAAGGAAGTAGTCTTTTTCACCTATCTAGGTAGCACTGTTTCAACTACAGGCGGCACAGGCACAGACGAGGATGTCAAAGTCAGGATGGGAAAAGCAAGACAGGTGTTCATTAGCCTGAGACCAGTGTGGAGATCTTCTGCACTCAGCATGTGGAACAAGGTCCGGATTTTCAACACTAATTCAGCCAAGTCAGTGCTGCTATATGGTTTAGAGACTTGGCGCGTTACGAAAGGCGTTTCCAACAAACTACAGACATTCATCAACAACTGCCTACGCTAGATACTGAAGATCAGATGGCCAGAATAACAAGAATAAGTAACAAGGAACTCTGGCCGGGCAACGAACCGACCAAGAAGCTATCGCCCAACAAACATGCATAAGGAAGTGGAGATGGATTGGGTATACACTGAGAAGGCCGACTGGGGACATCACGTGCCAGGCACTGGAGTGGAACCCAAATGGGAAACAGCGAGTTGGGCGTCCGAGGTGAGGGTGACATGGGAGATCGTGTGAGGAAGAAATGTGAGCTTCTGGGTAGTCGTGGAGTCAGGTTCAAAAGATTGAATAGAACAGAGTGGAATGGAGACGTAGTACTGAAGCCGTATGTTCCACTGGGAACCCAAGGAAGAAATAACAATAATAAACTGCAAATAAAAGATGATTCGACAAAATTTAGGTGTATTAAGAACGTAACTAATGTTAACGTCGTGTGAAAGATACTTCTGTTTAAAAACTGATTTGATTACTTAAATTACGAGATTAAAAAATAAGGTTATATTGACATTAGAGAAGGTGTGGGGCAATTCTTAAAGAAGTAGTAAATGACTGTATTTTAAAAACTTTACTGCCGTGTACTGAAATGAGTTTTGTATCATACTTTTTCATTTAAATATTTAATTTGTAAATGATGTAGTGTTGCATTGGTTATTTACGACCAAGAAAATATGTTACTAAACTAAGTGGAATACGAAAAAAACTTGGAATAAAATAGCTGAGCACAGGACACTGGAATTTAACAGCAAGTTGTAGTGAGCGTAAATTAGTTGGTTTCCGGCCATCTGGTTCTCGTATATCGTATTCGTCAGCTACATCACACGTGAGGATGACTTTGCCAGCCCGTGAAAATAATTTGTCTGGTCTTTCGTTCGCTAGTGCAACAATCACTCTGCCAGATAATTGGGGTGATTCAGCTATGAGTATAAAACAAATAGGACAGAATATAGTCAAAGGAATGGTGGACGTGAAATATACAAACGAAAAGTTAAGAAAATATAGTTTATTAATGTAGCATGTGTTTTATTTATAAATTGAGTTATCAGACCACTTTGTCAAGGTTTGAATGGTTTCTTTCCGCCGTAGACTTAATTGTTTGTTGTTTGGCCTCGCATCTTCAAGACAGGCGGTGTTTTCTAAGTAAACTTTTCGCAAAAAATATGAGTTAAGAACAGTATACGCTACTGTGGTTACCTAAACTAGCTAGGTTAATCCTGACTGAGTTGAATTTATGGAAGTGGGTTTGTGAAGTATAACCAAGTCTTAAGCATACATGTGATGTATACTAATTTATTTCCATTTCTGCGTTATCTGATGATCAGTGAAAATAAGTCACTAGGGATTACCAGATATCAGTATACGGCCACTACGTCACAACTAGATTGATTATACAGTCTTGTACCGTAGATATCCGTCTACAATAAATCATCAGTAAAGTATCTGGTTTAACAGGTGTTTTACGAATTCAAATTTCCAAAGGAACAGGATTTTTTGAGTGATATGACAGGTATCAGATGAATAAGATACCACTGAAATAAAAAAGTACTGTGTCTGTCTCTTCAAGGATTAATTTCACTTATGTTTGAGATCTCATTGTTCTAGTACTTGTATGTTGTGCATTTGTGGCTACAAAAATACCGAATAAAATGTACTCAGAAAAGTTATAAATAACATTCAAATCTTCTGAAAACAGTTAAGCAGACCCTCTGGATAGATAAATGCCGATGCCTAGTTGTAGCAGACTTCAGTAGACTGAGATAGACTAACAACAAAAGCACCATGTAACCCGTTTGATGACAAGTTAGTGGGAACATAATTTTCCGTAGCCCTTATACAGCACATTAGGACAGCAACCGGATATGATCATCGGCATGCCCCATCAGTTCTAGACTTAATATTCTCACACACAGATGATGTATGTAAAAGTGATGATGCTGTGATCATCTTCAGATTCACAGCAGATGTCTTGTACCAGGCCGATGCCCCAGCTAGACCCAACATATGGAAAGGGAATATGGCAGCTATTAACCTGGCAGCCTCTTCGGAGAACTGGACAGTCAATCTAGAAGCCTCAGTTGAAGGTGCATGGTGCTCCTTCAAACAGTTATATGCACGAGTGACCCAACCGTTCATTTCGTGGACTTTCCTGAGGGGACGGAAACGTTTTCCTTCGTGGATAAACCACAAAATCCGAATCTTCCTACGACATAAGAAAAAGTGTTGGAATTTTGCCACCCACTTCGGTACACCTGAGGTGATGAAACATTACGAAGAGGCCCGAAATAAATGCATCGCTGCTATCCGCCGGTCTTGAATATGCTTTGAAACACGTCTTGCCCAGGCTGCATTGGAACATCCAAAGTGGTTATTTTCCTATATGAACCGTAGAAATAAGATGTGTCGTGGTATACCAGCACTAATCAAAGGGACCAAAACTGACTGTTTGATTGAGGACAATAGGTTGAAAGCAGAAGCTGTGGCTATATATTTTGCTGAGGCCTTCACACAGGAACCTTCTGTGGACACTTTTTCAACAGTAGGAGCATTGACATCCAACAGAATAAACTCTGAGGATATCGATCGCAATGATGTATTCGGATATTAAGTAATCTCGATGTGGAAAAATCAACGGGACCGGATGAGCTGCACCCAAGGCTGCTCAGACAGCTTGCACTCTATGTGACCGGCCCATTGACTACTATATGTAGACTGTCCATCAGTTACGGCACACTCCCTTGTGGTTGGAAGGATGCCATTGAAAACACCTATCCACAAGGCAGATTCTAGGCACCACCCATCAAATTACAGACCTATAAGTTTGACTAGTACTGTAGAAAAATCCTTGGAAGTGTAATCAAGAAAGCCATCACAGTCCACCTACAGAGCAACACTTTATTGTCTCGTTCGTAGCATGGCTTTCGTAGAGATTTCCCTTGCTTGACGAACCTGCTTACAGTCAGAGAAAGTTGAGTTAAGTCTAAAGATGATAGGATACCTGTAGATGTCATTTCCATACACTTTAGTGAGGCGTTCGACAAGGTACCTCATTCCAGGTTGCTCGGGAAACTGGAAAGTTTTGGAATCACTGGCAGTCTGCGTGGATAAGAGACTTCCTTGTTGGTATGATACAAAGAGTAAGGATAAATTTTCCACTTGGAAGTCGGTAGAGAGTGGAGTGTCGCAAGGCACAGTTCTGGGCCCCCTGCTGTTTCTCCTATACGTAAATGAGCTGCCAAATGTCACGAAATCCCCTATGGTTCTCTGCGCTGATGATGTAAAAATCTGGCTGGAAATTAGGAACGATGAAGATATACGTGTGCTTCGGGCAGACCTAAATAGCTTGTTTACTTGGTCAGAGAAGTGGCTTATGTCTATCAATGCAGGTAAATGTGTGAGCATGCACAGGGGCACACTTACAGCAACACTTACTATTTTGGTGGGACTCTACCGTCAGTACTGACCCACAATGACCTAGGAGTCACAGTGAGTTATGACTTGAAAACCACGGCACACTGTCGATTGGTAGCAGCTCGCAGTTTCAGGACACTTGAGGCTTTTACGTTTACTAAAATAAGTGGTGACATGTTCCCCATCTTATACACATCCCTAGTTAGGTCTGAATAAGAAAACTATACACAGGCGGCTAATCCTTGTCTGAAAGGTGATGCAGACCTACTAGAAAGAGTTCAGAGGATAGCCACTAGCATGATCTTTGCGATGGCTGGCCTCACCTATGAAGATCGACTTAAGGAGCTGAACCTCTTCACTTATCCTGTCGCAGACGGAGGAAGACCTAATCATGCTATACGGAATTCTAAGAAGTGATTTTGGACCTGACCTATCTCGTCTTTTCCTTCCCACTAGGTCGGAACATCTCAGAGGACATAGTAGGAGGCTACAAAAGCAAAGAACGAACGTAGTCTTCTCAGAGAAGTGGTTCTCGCCTTGGGTAATCAACGCCTGGAACCGACTCCCAGAAGTAGTGTCTGCATCGTCAATTGACTCGTTCAAAAGGGGATTGGAAAAGCATAGAAATCTACTGGAAAAGGATTAATATAAGCTCACAGCCTCCTATCCTCAAACAACAAATCTGAAAGGAAATATACCAATTAACTACTGGTTTATACAGACGCTTGAACAATATTCATAGTTCTTCAAGACCCTATACTGACAGACGATAGTAGCTTGGAGCTTTTAAGTTATCTGTCGATATTTCTCCCTTGCATTTCCAGTGTCTGAAACTGTAATTGGTTTTACTTATGTTTCTGTGGCTCATTCCTCCTCAGAACAAACAATCTGTTTACACACACAGTCCATGAAGATTTTAGTTTTCCGCTCATAACTCCTTGTCTGTAGTAAGGAGAATAGTATTTGTGGGAAAACATGAATTTTAGGCAAAACTAATTTACCTAAGAAGTTAGCATTGCAGAAAATACTGCTTTTAGAAATTAAGTATCACTTCAGGTTCAATACTCAAATGTTTTGTAGGTGTTAAAATTTGACCTTGGGCGTTGAGAACTACGCTCAGCAAAACAATCCAACTAGTGTATATTACTTTGCTGGTAGCATTTGAACAAGCGTTTTACAGTGACGAATGAGCCATTGTTCCATACTCTCTTTTACGAAAGAAATCATTTATTTATCGTGGATGGTTTCAGTTGGCCGAACAACAAAAAAATAATTTGAACTATCATTTCTCAGTATGAAAATAAGCCAGCTAAATGATGTATGGCAGAAAATGATAATTTCAGACATTGTCAGGGACGCTGGAAGAGGTCGACTCTAGACGGATAGAGAACAGATATGTGACTTCGAAACTGTTTCCCACTTCAAAGTGTATAAAGTGCAGGCAGCGACATCTAAACATTCTGCTATCTTTGTTTGTCATCCTGAATAAAGCAGTTTACGGGGTCATGTTAATCACTAGCATAGCTCAGTAGCTAAAAGTAAAGAATCAGTAAATGGGAGTTGTATTTACTGTAAAATGCCAATTGAAACATAAAATTGAATTCACGTACCAGTTTCATGATTGAATACTATATTTTCACCAAGTTGTAAAGTTCCTCCAACTGCCTGAGATACAACAGTCTCTGTACGTACTGGACCCGGCCATAATGTGACGATACATATATTGGCCTTGGAACGTTTTAAATCGTAAGCCATATCAGTGGTCATACGATCCAGTCCAGCTTTACCTGATAAAACAAGGTAACAGGATTTAAAAAAATGAATGTATTTGTGCTTAAAGTACCATAACTGAAGTTTAACGAGTGTTGTCGTAATACATACATTAATGAATACCTTTTTTGGACTATGAATTTACAATAATTATCATAGAGCTAGTCGTATTTTATTCAATTATACCTCTTGCACAATCATATGTCGCATAACTGAGCAAAATGTAAACATAATTACGAAAATATAGGAACGAATTTCTTTCAAAGTGTTGACTGAACTTTAGAATTTGTGAATTTCATGTGATGAATAATTCTAAGACTTGAAAACATTGGCAAGCAGTCCTAGTTTGGATAAATTGAATTGTTTCATTCAATTTTGACGAAATTTAACTAACAAGACCTAATCAATATAAGAAGGTAAGGGATCAGCGCGTTTGTAAGTAACTAAAATGGTCATTTTGTCAGTAATGTAAAGCTACGCAGTAAATAATGTGGACAGTGTTAACATGAGTAAAACCATCATCAAGAAGTCGTAACAGATAAAACTTGTCTCCAAATAACTCTTCAGTGCCACAGTTGTTTTTCATGACGCCAGTTTCCTTCAAATAACGTGGTAACAGGAAAAACTCACGTATACACAGAAGAGTAATAAAATATGGAATGATTATTCCAAAACAGATCTAGAGATAACCATTTTGAAGAAGTACGCCAACTAACAAACAGCTGGTTTTAGATTAGGAAAAAAAGCAGTGACAGCAGGTATGGAGATTACTACATTAATATATGATTTTCATTGTATCAGAAGATAAAAGTGAGATAAGTAATCTATGTCGAAAAGTGTCTCGACAAATTTGATGAAGTAGATCGTTGCTCACTACGTTTATTAGTACCACTTATTACCTTATCAGGTCAAGGCGTTGGAAAAATTTAGCTGAAATATTATAAATCATATCACTGATAAGTGGGAGTATCTGGCATAAGAACTAACTTAACAATAAAATATCCTGTCCAACGTATTTTATCAATCTGTGAGAAACTTATATTGAATTAGAAAATTACTGTCTTTGTTAACTAGGAGCTCGAAGTGGGTTATACGAAAATGCTTCTCCAAGGTTTACAAAAGGAAGAACAGTAAGTACATATTTTCAAAAACATTGCTGATGCTGAAACGTCTAATATATCCGGCATTCTCTTTTGACAGGTTGTACAAAACCCGATTGTTTTTTAAAATCTAAAGTTCTGCAGTCATTCTGATGACTAAGCTATGCACTAAACAAGAAGACATTCTTTATTTGTAGATATTTGTAATTTCCGTTATACTGGATCAAATCGATCGACCTGTGTTAGCATATGGGCTGCTATGCGGATGTCTGGATATTGCCTGGTTTTTATTAATTTAATTGACTTGGTCGTGGCTAGTAGTGGAATCCAGGATATGCCTTTTATCCTATTTGGAACTTGTTGGCTGGATACACCTGAAATGTCGAGGCATCTGCATAAGAGCCTATATCGCAACATTTGTCGATCAGTTCTATCCAGTATAACAACGGAGAATTATAAGTATCAAAAAAACAATAACTAATACCCGATATACAAGAGTTGGCTATCGTGTCTCAGTTGCCTAGCAGATAGCGCGTTGACGTTTGAAGCGATGGGTACGAGGTTCAAGTCTCAGAGGAAACAACATCACTCACTGAGGTGACAGTATATCCAGTTGATGAGTCCCAAATAAGACGAGATGCTCGCTCTAGATTTCATTACCAACCATAACCAAGTCATTTAGAAGAATTTTCCTGCTACAAAACAAATAACGAAGTGAATTCAGCTTACTGTGACTCCCTAAAAGCATCATAGTCACAATGATAATCAATATTAGTGAGGTCAGGAAAGTAGTTAAACTGTGCACTTGATGGGATCAAAACCAATGGGAATTAAGAGAACACAGAAAGTAACAAGGAGACTTCCTAACCAAAATCTCATAAGAAATTTGAGTGCGCAGGAGAAAAAATAGATTCCCACCTACAAAAAGCTATGAAACAAAAAAAGTTTGATGATGAAAAGCTATGATACTCTCACTTTTTATGAAACTGATCAAACAGCTTACAAACAGTTTCATTATGTCAGATACACATTTTTGAGTCGAAAGGTAACATAACGGCTACGTTTCGGGCTCACAACGAGCGAACATATTTCATTTAATCATTATTTAGACTATTCTCAGGAAAAAGTGGACCAAACACTGTTCATTTTTAGATAATATACCTTAGTCCGCAGTTTTCTAGTTATACTACAATCCATATATTCTCAAAGCTTCGAAATACAGTTAGGATTTATGAAGCATAAAAGTGTAAGAATATAAATTGCATCGAAAACTAGGGCGCACATTTAACGACAATATTCAAAACTAATTAAATCGGCAGCACACAAATCAGTGCCAAATTAGAAATGAAGCGATTAGTTGAAATCAACAGTAAATAACTAACCTTTGTGAGTATCGATTTGTGATGAAGTATCACAAATACACATTTTAAGTTAATGAGTTTTGAATGTTTTCGAATTTTTATGTGTCATAAGTCGAGTGACTCTAAAGGCAACTCTAGTAACACCGAAATTGCCAAATTAGGTTTCTGTATTTCTGTTGGAAAGGCTGGTTTTCATCATATAAAGAAGTCTAGTTAGTTACTTCACTTCTTGTTAGAGTAGCCTTCAGAGTCATGCAGTAAGTCAATGAAACTCAAGAATCAAGTAAGATTTGATAAAAGTTACCACTTCTCCACAGTTTCCACAAAGCAATTTTTTTCCAATTTCTGTTGTGAGCAGCCAAGTTCCATAAAGAACATATTTTACTTCCGATTTCTCAGTAGCTTTCAACACTTTACATTAGTTTCAAAAAACTTATTATACAGCATAGTATTTGTTAGTTGGTGGAGGCAATCGGTAGGAAGTGTAAACTTGGGCACTGTGGTAAAATGTAATTCCATATTAGATTTGTTTATTTGATATAAAGCGCACAGTGATACAGTATTATTTACTTGATTATGTTTCGAGCATAAATTATTGCTCATAATCATGTCAATATATATCAATACATTGATATGATTATGAGCAATAATTTATGCTCGAAACGTAATCAAGTAAATAATACTGTATCACTGTGCGCTTTATATCAAATAAGCAAATCTAATATGGAATCGGTAGGAAGCCCTGGACCTAGGTTTAGTGCTTTTTGGCACTCGTCAGCAAAGCGTATCTGCAATCTCGACGGAACTGATGTCCCGCCTGAGATTTGAACCAGCATCACTTGGTGTTGTGGTCAGCTACCTTAACACTGGGCTATTCTGGCTGCGACTGCCCTCCTGTAGGACTGGGTTACATGTATTGATTGGTCACGGGAGTGCAACCAATTTCATGTTGTCTAGTCATGAGTGCAGGCTGAATCCTATCAGGGTCAATCGCGGCCAGAATAGCTCAGTAGTAAAGTCGCTGACTATAATACTGGGTGACGCGTGTTCGAATCTCAGGCGGGACGTCAGTTCCGTCGAGGTTGCAGATACGCTTTGCTGGCGAGTGCCGAAAAGCACGAAACCTAGGTCCAGGGCTTCCTACCGATTGCCTCCAACCAACTAACATCTACTAATGTACACCACGAGTCTGAGCCTCCTAGCTTGGTAGCCACATTGCAAATATGAGCGATAGGATTCGGTCTGTACTCAGGAGTAGACAACATGAGATTGGTTGCAGTCGCGTGACCAATCAATACAGCATAGTATTCTCTGATGTAATCTGCGTAACGCCTTTTAACGACATTCTGTCAATCACATAAGTGTCACTATGTTTTGAGCTATTAAGTTTATGAATAAAAACACTTTTTTTTTTTTTAAAAAACTCATTTATTACACGAATGAGTCATTTCATTTACCTGCTCCATATGGAACGTTGAAAAAATACACTCTCGCACCAATCGATGAGACATTCACTATTAATCCCGGTCTACACTGATTAGTTGTAAGACCTTCTGATTTCATCTTTTCTTGGTACCTGATCATTAACTTTGTGGCCAAAACACAACAAATATAGTTATTTCTCAAACCGACACTGTTTACTATATCCCAAGCTTCACCAGGTGATTTGCTCTCAATCTCATAGTAAGGTTTATCCACATTCTTCAAGAGAAAACCAACAGCACTGTAAGCATTGTTAACCAAGATATCGAGACGTCCGTTTTGTTCACGATCAATCCTTTCGAATAGTTTCGCAATCTGGTCATCATTTGTGTGATCAACAACCACAGGTATGCATCTCTAAAATTATGTAAACCACACGAAGCCTTAACAGAAAAAGGATGTAATTGAGAAAATTCAAAGCAAGTATTTTTAATCAACTGTCCTATCATTGATGTAGAAACCTTGTTCGTCATAGTAGCCAGAACATAAAAGAATAATGACTCACATGTTACTAAACAAAGCATGAAGTAAGATGAAAGAGGGTAGTTTAAGATAACACTACATCTCAGCTAGTGGCAATGTGTTTGAGTTTTGCGCTGCTACCCATACACCTTCTTAATTTACCTAGGCAATAAATGAAGCCTATGATGGTATCCATCCGTTTCGATAATCATCAAAAGTTCGATATGAAATAAACTACCAGGCACTGTCATTGCAACAAAAACTAGTCAGGGAGCTCAAACCAAACCTTGAGAGCACACCATCATGCTCAAAGTCATCAAGAAACAAAGTTCCGCAAGTTAAATCAAACTTAGTGAGTGCTTTTTTCTAACTTAGTAGTACGAAAATTTCCTGATACTTCGAGTTTTTCATAAGCAGAAATTACTAAAGATATTAAACCACAGGTTTTTCTTTAAATTCAAACAAGCAGAAGTGCACTGTCACCCTTTATTTGTTCCCATTAAAAATGTGAAACATCTATAACTATTGAATAAATGTACCTTGTCAGGAAAATACTTTAACCACAAAAATATGGAATCAATCAGACTTCCTTTGTAAATTGTTTTATGTATCCCCGGATAAGAATAGCTTATAAGGATTCACATGGTCAGTTTCGCTGGGCCACACTGCTCTGATAATGTATAAATTTTAAAAGTTGCCAAGAAAATCATCTTAATTAATATCCACCTTAGATTATTGGCTTATTCCAACTGTGAACTGATTACGATCACTAAAAGAAGTTAAGACTTTCATCATTTAAAGTGCTCGATGATATGTAACAAATAATTTAATATTGCCAACAAGAATTTCTGAGTCTTGACTCCATACCGATTGTTGCTTAGAACCTATTCACTTGATGAATAAAATTACTTAATAAGGATAAGAATGGATGTTGATTTACATCAAGGATTAATTGCAGTAGCACAAAACGCTGAATAACTATCCACTAGCTCACTTCTGAAATGATCGAGTATTACTACACTATTTTTAGTTATGACTAGAGATACAGATAAATGGATGTTATCGTAAACAATGTCTAGTTTGGAAGAGTTAAGCTTTACCAGGTAGTAAATGAAATTGATTTCTTAAAATTGTTAAAGATCAACTACTTACTTCAAGTACGCTTTAATGAGACAACTATAAACCGTATTCATGACTTTCAACATCAAAATTATTCGTAATACAAAGTATAATAAAATTTTAGTTGATAAGTAATTTAAGACTATGTACTCAGCTATCGATAAACCATAAAATTATGAACAAACTATGTTCGTTGTGGACACTTACTTTGAGTTCTACATATACTTATGTGGTCTTCATTTAGACAGAAGAATTGCCAATTTCTAAAGTGAAAGGTCTTATTTTTCACATGGATTTTACTGGTGTTGGCCTGAACAGCATGAAATCTGACAGCTTACATACACGTTGACTCCTCAAATCATCCCAATTTGCCTATTCAAAAACTTCAACAGCCGTGTGTGGTTTTCTTTAGGTTATCTGATTGGTAGAACGAAAACTGAATTAAAATGTTTAACCCGTTCCAGAAAAATAGACAAATAACATGAGGTATGTTGTTTTTACCACTAAAAAGATGCAAAAAAGTTTACACAAACGAAGACGAGTGATTCCTCTATAAAGATTCATGAAAGCTCAGTATCGGGGTATATGAATAAATACCAATTTATTCGTAAGCTTAATATTTCCAGATTTTACCGCTTGGTGGATTATACTGTTGCATGAAAAATTATGGGATAATATTTGCTGCATAGCTTGTATCACCATATTTTATCTAACGAGATAAACTTGTCGTTCATTATTCCCGGTATTTAATTCATTAGAATACCTTATAAAGTTATCGCCAACGGAAGTCATATTTTACCAACTGCGTTAAATAGTCTGCAGTAAATATTGTGTTATCAAAAAGAAAAATAGACATCAGAATAGGAACATCTTGTTAAGCGTGAAACTTACGCCACCCCTACTGTTTATGGCTTCCTCTGTTTCCTCCAAAGAACCTCCGATGTCATTCCCATCTGACTTTAATGTTCGTCCAGTAATATAAACAGTAGCTCCAGCTTGACCCAACTCAACTGCAATCCCTTTCCCGATACCTCGTGTAGCTCCCGTTACCAAACAAACGCAGTCCTTCAGTTTTCCACTCATCTCTGAGTATTGTAATGAAGAAAACAAAAAAAATATTTGTATAGGTCCTTTAGTTAATTGTTTCATTTGGTGGCTGGTTGGTTAGTTTAAATTAATGATTTGATTGGTTAATTGGTTGTTTGTAGATTTCATTGGAAAATTACATTTTGTTTCGTAGAAGGACTTGTTAATGAGAGTGAATGATTCGCTCAGGTGGTTGGTAAGTGCAGTATAACAAACGTGATTTAAACTGCGCTAATTATTACTCGATAAATAAGTGCTTAGAATTCAGAAGACATTTATTTATGAGACATAAAATCTCTTCCAGATTTCTTTAACAAAGTCATGTCACACAAACTGTATTACTGTTACTGAGTTGGCGTTAAAGGCAAAACTATATTTTTCTCTAAATTAATTTAGCCACTTAGCATTGAACATTTAAGTTACGCAGATTTTGTGCAAAACACAAATTTTAATGCGTTTTTTCAAAGAAAGTGTACTTTCTTTATAAAAGTGTACTAATCAAGTTCATTACAAGATTTGTTGAGGATAATCCGCACACCTGAAACGTAACATGCAGTTATTGCATAAAGTGAATGTATTTATGACTCAAAAAATGAAACTCAATAGTTACGTGAAACTTTGGGTGAAACTAAGAAAATGATATTAGGCCTATCCAGGTATTCAGATACGCTAAGTAAAAGTGATATTCACTGTATAAGGTGTATTTTTACTTCTGTAATCCCGGCGTATAATATTAGAACAAATAACTCGAGTGTTTTGGTGGTTTCTAGATCATAAGATCTTATGATCTAGAAAACTTGAAAAAAGCTCTGCCATCGCGGCTCATACCCTATATTCAGGTCATAAATAACATTCGAACAGATGAAAGTTCTACAAAAGGGTTTTCTGTCTCACAAAGAGCGGACCATTGCAGAAGCTAGCTTTGCACATCTGTTTGTATCCTTCTTCGGTCAACAGAAAAGATGGGTTAGACATCTAACTAATATGGCAAAGATTAATGACTCGCATAGGCAGTTGTAAATAATATATGAAGAGAAGGTAGAACGCAGTTTCATTCCACAGGATTTATTCCGACTTTACTCTTGCTTGAATAGTTTCCCGTGTCATTTTGCTTAATCGTCTTAACCACGTCAAAAGTGATTGTATTTTAACAACTTGTCTATTCCTATTACATAAAACCATTGCCGTTACCCTACAGGCCTTACAACTTGGAAACCAATCAGAATGCTGTCTTGTGACCATTGTAAGGTCATTTCCCGCCATCTTAGTAGACCATGTTGGATGATTGGTTTCGTGCTAACGAGTTTTTTGTTGATTTGTAAAAGTTGCAGATGTAGTTGCCGTTCTTATGTTATGAATTTTACTCAATTATACTCCGTTTATGATACTGCCTTTGTTGGTTGCCTGTTTCGTTAACTGCTTTTATTGTTTGCGATGTTTGGGGACACAGGTCAGTTGTGGAGACTGCATAAAATTGTGTATAAACCACTTCAACTAAAAGCAATATTTCCTGTTCATCTTTTTTTTTACACATTCTGTACATTCTTCCTAATACTTGTAAAACGAATGCTGTTTATATATAGACTTTTTCGGTTGTGTCAGTAATTACAGCTTTTTGTTGCTCCTAATCGTGGAAATAAAATGTGCTTCTAACTATTCCGGTTTCTACCTCCGTGACTTTTGCCTGTCGTGCATAATAACTGATCGTCTTGGGATTTTACACGACTTCTCATCCTACTTCCAAATATTACTACAATCAAGCCGACCAATGACCATTGCGGAGAGCCAACAAATATCCCCTTCTGATCTCTGGAGTATCCTAAAATTGTGGTGGACAATACCGAAAAGATAACCTCCAAGTAACCACTGATTATCTATAACCTTGACAATACTGGTTTTGCTATGACGTATAACTTTTCATACATGCTTGTCATAAAATCCATTTTTCTTGTAAATTATACGTAGTTTGTCATTTTGGTTTACTTGACATTCTTTGGGTCCACCACACAGTTATAAAAGTGTTTTTTGCATATTTGTTTGTTTAAATCTATTTCATCGTGTTATTTTAATGGGTTAATGTAAATATATCCGCGTTATGTTGTTCTTGTTGTGTTAGAAGTTGGTTAACCCTTAATAAGGCCGTGATGCTGCCCCTGATCCTTGAATTACTTCAACGTCTATAGCCTTTATCTGATTGTTTAGGAAGTTGGTGCAAATTTTAACACGTTTTGTTGCTGTTTATTATTCTTCAGCTGAAAGTACTCCAAGAAGAATGCTTTACCTATTCGTTTTCATAGCTTCATGGATTCTCAGCAAGCTTCTACAAGCAGTGCTAGCCTGGTTGATGCAACGTGTGTGGATGTTTCTGCCGTGTTTGGGCAGGTTATACGACTCAGACATTTTACTGTCTGGAATCAAGTCGAAGAAGCGATAAATAAGTTTCAGAAAGTATGCTTAGAAGTCACTTAATTCGATGTTTAGATGACGAATACTCACTACGTTGTCAGGGAATGCAATCGGTATAAGGGAAATGCTGATTTAAAGTACCACTATGTTGTATTGGCATGCACTTTCGGTAGCAGGAAAAAGTCGTAGGGTACCAAACAGCGAATTAAGGGGTAATCTAAGAATTTGTTAAGAGTAGCGTTTTAGATCGGAGTACATTGGTTGTCAATCTAGAATTAAAATACATTATGATTTGAATGGCTTTATTTTTCCAAGTGTCAAGATGGTACACAACCACCCATGTGATATGAATTATCTTGCGAAAGACCCTTGATGTAGGCGCCTAACGGAGGACCAACTGAAGGTCGTCAAGCCAACGCCGACAGTAGGGTCTGAACGGGACCGCGTTTGCAGTATATGAAAGATGTAACTTATGACTACCTAAAGAATATCCGGAGGAAAATTACACCAAGTAATTTATTTCCTGAATAGCTTTTATTCTGCAGGTTATGAATCTCAAGAATAGTTTTCAATAAATTGAGGAGTATTGGTCAGCTGCTAACCTAGAGTGATGGTGAGTATCAGCAGGTGGATCGAGTATACTTCAGCAGCACCGATCAAATAGCCGCCTACCTCCGATTTCCGGAAGTTGTATGCTTTGATTCAACGTATAACACAAATAAGGGGAAGTAAGTCTATCGTGATAGCATTAACATGAGGCGTAGCCATAAATTGTTCCAATTTGTTGTCTCGGACAATTTCGGTAACAGTCGCCCAATTATGTTTGGGTGGAGTAAACGAGAACAAAGAGCAGATGTGACATGGATGTTGGATGGCCTTAAGCGTATAGTGGGTGAAACGTCGTCCAGATGAACGTTTGTTATTGACTGTGCCAGGGCATTGAAGGCGCCTGTCCAGACTGTCTTCCCAAACGTAGATGTTGTCCTGTGTGCATTCCACGTTTGCAGAGCGATGTGCTAAAGGGTAAGCACTTCAAATAAGTGTTTATATGCACCTAAATTAAAGACAAGAAATCCAATACTCAAACAATATCTGTGTAGATTAGTTTGAGAAGAATCAACCAGTAGGTAAGATGCAAACAGTACACTGGCGTCCAACATAGGTTTTATGCATTTAACTGCATCATCATCGCTATCAGTCAAGATATGGGGAGGTATTTAAGTCGCATGTGGATGAACTGTAATCGACTTTGGTCCCCAGCATTCTACAATGATGTCCTGACATTGGTAATAATACTAATAATAGAGTTGAAAGCCTCCATAAGTAGATAAAGTGGAGGCTAAGAAAATATGACAAGCTGTATATATCGATTTAGAAAGCGTATCAGTGGGACAGTAGAAGAAGCGAAAGGAAAAAATAGGAAATGAAATTGCTGGCTCAACGATGAACCGTAGGCTGCTCACCTATTCCAATCCTTAACATTTGCCTACTTTTTAATCATGAAATTTACGTCCACCACCGTTTTAAGTATGGACGACAGCCATTACAGACATGTAAGTCCAATTCACTTTCACCTTACACTTAAATGGCAAAATGAACTCTACACGTAAACTTTACTGTATTAGCAATGGATGATAAAAAGTAAAGTGATGTAAGTCTGTGTTCCTTTTTGAAATTGGATTTCAAGAACACTTTTCATGCACCATCTAACATGTTCACATATTATCTTCTTCTACAGGTAAACGACCTTGAACCTGCCTACTGGATTGTTATTTATGTATGACTGTTCGCACAGATATTTTTTTATCATGTAGATTACAGCCCTATTTTACCTCATAATACAAACTGCATTTCTTAGTAATTGCTTTTTGAGTACACTCATAGGTTACTACGGGCATATGTACAATGTTTCTGAAAACAGTCGTATCAGTGTGTAGGCCAGTTATCATCCAGGAGCGAAAAATAGGAAAACTCCTAATCACTCCATGGCTTCAGTTTGTTAAATTATTATCAGTAATCCTGGAATCCGTAGAGCAGAAGTCTACGAGTTCACACGTTTTAAACATTTTCGGTGACATCCAGGCTATCATAACATCACCGGTTCACACTCGTCTGCACAGGAGCGCACTTAACGAAGGAGTTCAACACTACTAACTTCCCATAGTTCTAGCATTATTCATGAGCATTAACGGAAGAAAACGCATTTTACTTCATGTGAAAATATGTATTTCGGTAAAAAGTATTCAACACATTTGGAGTGTTGTCCGAGTAAATGCTCATTAGTCATTCCTTCATCATTCTCCTTTCGCGATCTTGTTGCAGTAGGGCGCTCATCCTGCAAAGTAGAACAAAGGAAAAATTTATAAAGTCTGCTGTATATGTTTACATGCAGTCAGTGAGGAAAACGATAAGCACGGATCATATATGCGCAAAGTTCTTTAGGAAAAGTTTGATTAGCCATTGACCTCTCCGTATTTCGTAAACACACACCTGGCTTCTCAGGTGTAACTAATGCACCTTACTACAGGGGTCCAGTGTGTCAGTTAGCATTTCGAAAAATACATGATGACAGCGAAGTAAACTGTTTCTGAAATTGCCCTCTTAAATTAAACAACTAATCATATCACTTAGAATACACAAAGGGGAGCGTTTGACAA